CCTGAGGAAAGGGAGAGAGAAGTGGGAAGGGCCAGTCAGTAAGGCAGTCAGAACACACATCACATTTATCAATTAAGTTCACCATCTTACTATTTTTTTTTTATTTTATTTATTTTATTTTGTTTGAGGCAGAGTCTCACTCTGTCACCTAGACTGGAGTACAGTGGTGCAAACTCGGCTCGCTGCAACCTCTGCCTCCTGGGTTCAAGGGATTCTCCTGCCTCAACCTCCCAAGTAGCTGGGATACAGGCACACACCACCACACCCAGCTAATTTTTTTTTGTATTTTTAGTAGAGTTGGAGTTTCACCATGTTGGCCAGGTTGGTCTCGAACTCCTCACCTCAAGTGATCCACCTGCCTCGGCCTCCCAAAGAGCTGGGATTACAGACGTGAGCCACTGAGCCCGGCCAAGTTCATTTATCTTATATGGACGTGAGTTGTGGCACCCCAAAATGATTACAATAGTAATACCAAAGATCATTAATCACAGATTACCATACCAGATAATAACAATGAAAAAGTTTGAAATATTGCAAGAATTACCAAATTACCAAAATGTGACGGGGAGACAAAAAGTGAGCACGTGCTGTTAGAAAAATGGTAGCTATAGACTTGCCACAAACTTTCAATTTGTTTTTTAAAAAAAGCAGTATCTGTGAAATGCATTAAAGCAAAGTCAAAGGGCACTAAAAAGAGGTGCACCTTTGTAATGAAAATAAAACGATAATATCAAATCCTAGTTAAACTTTTCTTCCCTGCCCAAGACTCAGAGCCTGCAGTTCCTGTCCCTTTGCTAATAAAGGAGATGAACAACTTTCTTTTTTTTTTTTTTTTTAGACAAGTCTTCCTCTGCCACCCAGGCTGGATTGCCGTGGCACAATCTGAGCTCGCTACAAACTTCGCTTCCTGGGTTCAAGCAATTCTCCTGCCTCAGCCTCCCGAGTAGCTGGGACCACAGGCACCTGCCACCAAGCCCAACTAATTTTTGTATTTTTAGTAGAGACGGGGTTTCACCATGTTGGCCAGGCTGGTCTCAAACTCCTGACCTAAGTGATCTGCCCGCCTTGGCCTCCCAAGGTGCCGGGATTACAGGTGTGAGCCACCACACCAGGCCAACAGCTGATAAAGAGGCACTAAAGACTAGGACCAAAATGAAACTTTCTCCTTGTTACAACCAGAATCGAAAGGGAGTTGAAAAGGGAATAATCTTCTCACTTCTGACTCAGTATTATTTGAATCAGCATCCACACGCCTCCTAAAGTGTTCTTCAATACCAACAGTACTGCCTATTTCCCACTTTGGAAAATTTGCCCCGTATCATAATAAATGTCTGATTTTTAAATCTGTTGACAAGAGAAGGCCGAAACTGGAACGTGAGAGAGATTCAGTTTGGATAGAGGAAAACGACTTCATTTTTTGTAAGTTTATCACCCCTCAAAACATATAAAAGATTTTTTTTTAATTTCAGTCCAGTAATAGGTCAGTCAAATGAAAAGTGAGAATACTGGAGATCAGGGCATTTCCTTTCCTAGAAAGTATTAAGAATATGCACCTGCTGGATGCAGTGGCTCACGCCTGTAATCCTTGGGAGACCAAAGCAGGAGGATCACTTGAGCCCAGGACTTTGAGACCAGTCTGGGCAACATAATGAGACCTCATCTCTACTGAAAATCCAAAAAAATTAACTGGGCATGGTGGTGTGCACTTGTAGTTCTAGCTACTTGGGAGGCTGAGGCAGGAGGATTGCTTGTGCACGGAGGTTGAGGCTGCAGTGAGCTGAGCTTGTACCACTGCACTCCAACCTGGGCAACAGAGAAATAACCTGTTTAAAAAAAAAAAAAAAAAAAGGATAGGCCACATATGTGCAGTGGGATACACTCTTCAGAGTGATAGGACCTTGGAGGTCATTTAATGCAGAATCTCTTCCTCAGCATTCTAATCCCCACAGCTACCTGCAGGAGATGTGTTTCAAGACTCCGGGCAGATACCTGAACCCACAGATAGTACCATATCATACATATACTCTTTTTTCCTATACATACACATCTAGGATAAAGTTTAATTTATAAAATTAAGCACAGTAAGAAGTAAACAATAATAATAATAAAATAGAACAATTATGATAAATGCCATTATCACTACTTTTGCACTTTGGGCTATTAATAAGTAAAATAAGGGTTACGTGAACACAAGCACTACAATGCCATGGTAGTTATCTGATAATCAAGACTGCTACTGGCTAATAAGCAGGTAAACACAGACAGCATGAAGATACAAGATGTCTCAAGCTACTCAGAGTGACATGCAATTTAAAATCAATGAGTTGCTTATTTCTGGAATTTTCCATTTAATATTTTCAGATTGCAGTTAATGACAAGTAACTGAAACCCAAAAAACAAAACCGTGGATGGGGTGGAATACTGCACACATTCAGATGCATGAGCATGCATGTGCGCGCGCACACACACAATCTTATGCCATGTTCCCCACATGACCAACTGTCACGGGATCCTTGAGGTGTCACTTTTCCATCTGGAAACCTCTGTGGCTGGTGGTGCCTTTGCCTGAGTTTTGCTCATTCCACCTACTCGACCAGGCAGGCTGCACTCAGCTTGTGCTACTAGCCTGGATCCCACGGCTGCCAAGAACAAGCCAGGAGTGGAGCAGTGGGGGGAGAAGTGTGTGAACAAGCTGGGGGTCTAGCCACTGTGCACAATCAGGTGTGCCAGCTGTGGCGGGGCAGGCACTCCAGGTGCTGACAGGCCACGGCTCTGTGCAAGGCTTCAGCAGGACCACAAGTGGCTTTCACTGCAGGCACTGGGGAATGCAGTGGTGCCTGGGAGCTTGGAGATGCCAGGAATCACAGGGCCCCAAAGAGAAAGTCACTGCCATGGCTCAAGGAGCCCCTAGGTCTGGGCTCCCTGAAGGGTCACAGCTCTTCTTTCTTTCTCATCACCCACAACGTGGTGGGTGGAGGGTTTGTTTCAATTCTGTTTGTGTTACAGCTCTTTCAGTCCTGCCATTTGGTGGATCTAGAGTTTTTGCCCCATGTTCAGGAAGAATGAGGTATGTGGACAACTTGGGGGTGAGCAAGGCAGAGAGGAGCTTCACTGAGCAAAAGAACAGCTCTCAGAAGACTGGCAGTAGGTAGCCCCTTTCTGCTGGCAGGCCATTCCAACTAGTTGAGGAAACCTGAAGTGGGTAGCTCCTTCCCGTAGTCCCGATGATCTCTGTGACTCTGGCTGAGTCCTGGGGTTTTTATGGGCTCAGAAGGGAGGAGTGTGTGCTGACAGGTCCATGGGTGGCCATGGGCAGGCCTGGAAAAAGCACCATCCAACTGACCAAAGAGTCATCAATGAAGTCCTCACTCTGGAAGTCTTCCTTCACCCAGAACTGGCAGCCTGGCCCCCAGGCTTCAGGCTGTTCCTGGCTTAAAGGTGGGGTTTCACTGGGAACTTGCCCCTTCCCACCCAGGAACCTGTCTGCCTCCCACTATCAACATGCTGTCCATGGCACCCAGGCTGTTTGTGCTGAGGGGTGCCTGCAGGCTGACACCAAGATGCCCTCTCGCCATGGCCTTTCTCCTGCACTCATTGGCACCCAAAGTCAGGAGGGGGCCAAGGTGGTAGTAGGGCTGGTGTATCAGTGCCACCCAGAGCACACACATCTGTAGCCAGGTTGCATAGCGTCCTGGTGCAGCCACAACTTTGCTTCACACCACAGTGGGCTCCAGGAGCGGGGAGAAGCCAGGGAGTGAGAGCAGGCACTTCTGAGTCTGCAGGGCAGGGGCTTCCTGGGGCCCTGAGAGTGCAGGGATGCCTAGGTCTGGAGCCACAGCTAGTAGCTGCAGCTGTGTCCAAGAGCACCGGGCTCCCACCCTGCCAACTCCATTGGTAGCGTGGCTCGTGCCTGTTCCAGCTCCTGCTGTCCCTGTGGAGCACATAACCCCACTGTGCCTCCCCTTCTGCAGCCAGCATCGACAGCAGCTGCTCCAGATGGGCTGCCACTAACTATCACAACCATGAGGCTCAGCTGAGACAGCTCCTTCCATGGCATATGTCAGTCCTGTCACTGAAGTGAATGCTTGTTCTTAACCTTCACTGTGCAGATTCACCCCATAAAACCTCACCTATTTCTCAGGACCGTTCTGCCCAGCAGGGCCTCCAGCTTGAACGTAGAGAAGGCAAGGCAGGGGCAGGATGTGCTCTATTACCCTTGAAATTTCATTCTAGAGCTGTGCAGTCCCATAGTTCTGCAATGACTGAAATGCTCTATAGTCCTTACAAGTCACATGTAACTACTGGGCATTCGAAATGTGGCTAGTGTGAGTGAGAAACTGCATTGTTCTTCTTCTTCTTTTTTTTTTAATGTGAATTACATTTAAATAGCCACATGCGGTTGGTGGCTACTTATTAAACAGCACAGCACAGTATTTGATAACAAAGAGACCTCTTGAAGGACATCTTCTGGATCAGTACCTATCCCAGATAGCCATAAACAAACCCTGCCACCATCATCTATCCCCTGCCTTTGAAAAGGGAAAGAATTTGGAAGGATGAGCCTGTCCTCCTTTCTGAATATCCCCTTCTTCTTCTCCTTTCTCCCATATTCTTCCCTTTCTCCACATCCCAAGATTTCTCAGGAAAAGCCTAGACCTTTATTTGAAGGGACAGAATTGAGAATATTTAGAACTTACTGCCAAAAGAACCAAGTAAACGTGCCTCTGGAACATGTATAAATAAAGCACTTACAAATGGAAAGCAGAATATGAGAAATGGCACTTCACTCTGTTTGCTGCCATGACAAAAATACATATGCAATTAGGGAATGAATGCCTATTTTCTTAGATTAAGGAATTACACTAAATTTTCTTAGATGTAGAAATGATATTGCGATTATGTAAGACAAGTTTCTTATTTTGGGGGATGCTAGAAGACTTAGGAATAACATGCCATGATGTAATATCTCTCTGTGTGTGTGTGTGTGTGTGTGTGTGTGTGTGTGTATGCACGCACATGTGCATTCATGTAGGCATATGAGCACATAAACACCAAGATAGATACACGTATAATACACATATAGATACATAGATAAGATAAATTGATGCATTGATGCATAGACAAATACATTGTTTAGATACATATATTGGCTACATACATACATACACGCATAGATTAGATGGTAGATACATAGATGTAAATAGGTGATAGGGCAAATTGTCTATAATTGTTAAATATAAGAGTGGGCAAGGGGTGCTCATAAGGGAAACATGATGGATGATGGAACTACTGCTAATAAAAACTGTTTTTATTACTGCTGAGTGGAGGCCTCTTAAGGCCAGTGTGAGATGTGGGTGGGTGTCGCTTCACCAGCCCCTCCAATCGGGTGACGTGCTGGAGAGGCAGCAAGGCAGGGCCAGACAAGGTCCACACAGGAGGGAATGATCACAGGAAGGAGGAAGGAGCCATAGTCTGCATGGGCAGGACGGTAAGGACAATGGGCAGGATGGTATTAGATCCTCCCTAGGCCATCTCCTTCCCACTCCTGCCTCATTCCAAGCTTACAGTAGTGGGCAGCCAGGCCAGAGCAGGGCCTGAGAGCCACCAAGACTGGCCAGGGGCCAGTGGGAGGAAGAACAAGGAAGGCAAAGCAGTCCCGAGTCCAGGGAATTCGGCTGTGAGGGCAAGTGGCCTGCGGGGACAGAGAGGAAACTTAGGTTTATTGCTCTCACTCCACCTCTCAAAGTGACTGAGGGAGAGAGGCTGAGACATCAGTTTCTCACCCTGCATATACACACTTGAATCCCAGTCTCACACCCTTTACCTGCTATGGCTGTCAGTGATACCATAGACTCAGGAGTTACTAGTCTCCCTAACTTTGTGGGCTATGCAAAGAATGAGGAAAGCTGTATCGAGTTTCCTTTGATGACCCCCACTGGAGATCCATGCCCTCTTGGAGGTTGAGTCAGCTGGCTCTCCCCATGTCCTACAGTACTGAGGCCTGGCCTGAATTCTTACCCCAGCAGGGCTTGAGACAGGATTTAGGTGGGGTGTCACTCAGACACCTGTCTGGTGCTGTTGCCCAGCACAGCTGATAGCAGGAGGGACCCAGTGGTTCCAGGGCAGGCAGGGCTGCTGTGGGCACACTGCCAGGGGACTGCTAAAAAAAAAAAGCAAGAGAAGAACCTTAGCTGCCAGTGATGCCTCCTGTTTAGAATGCCGGGACCCCAGGGCTGCCTGACACCCAGGTTGTATCCTGCTCAACTCCAGAGAGAACCATTCACTTAGTAGACTTTGGGGATAGTACTTTCTTGATGTGGACCCTGTGGGGCCCTGGGGAGCCAGAGATCCTGGCTCAGGCCAGAAATGGGAGAGGTCGTAAGCCCTTCAGTCTTCCCAGGGCACAGACTCCTCTCTCCTCCCAATTACCTGTGCAGAGATGATTCCTGGGGCAACCCTTGGCACAGTCAGCGCCTGAGAAGCACCTATAAAATGAGAGTGAACCCACTCAGAAGGAGGAATTGGGTTTGGGCGCAGGAGGAGCATGGTGAGAAGCAGGAAGGTTAAATGCAAGGAGGTTCTAGGAAAGTCAGCAACTTCTGGCTGGGGTGGGAGGAGATGGATATTTTAACCCAAAACTGCCCTCTTCCCCAAGACAGGTCCTTGGGAAACTGAAGAAGAATGATTAAATTCCAGTGATGGTACTGGGGACAGTGCAGCCTTAAGAGCAGGGACTGGGTGTGCCCAGCATCTAGCACAGGGTCTGGCACTTGGGAGATGCTGAGTAAATGTTGGATGGATGGGTGGGTGGATGCATAGATGAATGGAAAAATGGATGATGGATGCATGGGTGGGTGGATGGATGCATGGGTGGATGCATGGGTGAATGGATGGATGAATGGATGCATGGGCAGATGCATGGATGAATGGGTGAATGGATGGATAAATGGATAGGTAGATAGGTGGGTGGCTGGGTGACTGGGGGGTTGAATAAATGGATTCATGGGTGGATGGATGGATGAAGGGAAGGATGCATGGATAGACTGGTGGATAAATGGGTAGCTGTGTGGGTGGGTGGATGGATGAATGGATGCATAGATGGACAGATAGATGGATGGATGGATGGATGGATGGATGGATGGATGGATGGATGGCTAGGTGAGTGGGTGACTGGCTGGCTGGAGGGAGGGAGGAATGACTGGCGGGCTGGCTGGCTGGCTGGATGGATGGATAGATGGATGGATGGATAGATAAATGGATAGATGGATAGAGGATGAATGGATGGATGGAGCATAAGTGGGTGGGTAGGTGGGTGACTGGATAGATGGATGGATGGATGGATTGATACATGGGTAGATGGATAAATGGATGGATGAATGGAGGATGGATGGATGGATGGATGGATGGGCAGGCAAATGGATGATGGTACAGAGCAATCACCTGGAAGCTGCATTTCCCACTTGAGCTTCTCTTGTCGGCGCCATTTGGCTCTTCTGTTGGAAAACCAGACCTGAGCGAGGACAGGGACAATGCAGCTGGCTGTCCTTTATGCTGTGTGGCACCTGCTGATCTCACCACATGTTCCTTCCTAGCCTGAACTCACAATGTTGACCCTTCCTTGGGCCTGACATCCTCCCTCCCTGCCCTAGCTTTTGCTCTCTGGCCCCTTCCTCAAATCAAAAGTTTTGGTTGGGGAAGAGAGGAGAGCAGTCAGCAGAATGTGAACAAGGAGGGTCTCATCTCTGATTTTTGCTCCGAACAAGTTTGCATCCACCTTCTCACCTCCCCTCTCCACCTCATTGGAATCCAAAACCCTGGCCGGCATAGACTCTTCCTCCTTGTGGTTTGTGCACAGTGTTGCAGAGCCCACTCACCCTCACCGTGTCCTCAGGCAGAGAGGTGGCAGCAGCCAGCTTTCCACGGGCCACTGAATCAGGATACTGCCCACGCTGGAACTCTGCAGATATAGAGGCTCACAGAGTAAGGGCACCAGGAGAGGAGCAAGGCAGGAGTCTCCCCTCAGGCAACAACCCCAAACTACCTTCCTCCTCAAGGCAGGGCCACTCACAGCTTGCACCTCTCAGCCTTTGCCCACAGGCCTCAGGGCCACTGTCCCTGTGTCACACCGAGGACTCTCTGACCCTCCATCTCCCCCAGCCCAGCACCTTTCTCCAATGCTTCTGCTTGGCCTGGGGAGAAGATAGTCCGATTCCGGTGGCTGGTTCCTGGGTGGGGACCCCGGGGAGTCTCAGAGCCACTATGGGGAGTGGGGAGAGCTGGAGCTGAAACAACTAAAAAAAAAGACAACAGTTTGTTCTGGTTTGTGATGGTGATTCCTCTGGTCAGATGGGGTCCCTGAGTCCCTGGGGCTGCAGCCAGGAGACGCCATGGGTGGAAGAGCAGAGCCAAGATGCTGGGGCTTTCACAGTTACTTGGAGGTCACTGGAGGGTCACTTGGTGGAAAGGGTTCTCAACACCACAGTGGGGTGCATACTTAATGTGCAGGAGTTTAGGGGGATCAGCAGCAGGCTTGGTCCAGGTGTGTGTGATCCCAACGAACATGAATGATGCTCTAAGAAGCTATGAATGGGGCAGAGGGAGGGTATGAGACCCAGTCCTGTCTCTTCTTCAGTAGATCCTGTGAACCCAGGGGCTAGGGAACCTGGGTTCTGTTCCAGGAACTGCCATCAACTAGCTGGTGTCCTTGAGTAAGTTACTTCACAGGACCTCAATTTTCTTCTGCCAGGAGCGAATAAGACTCCCTGCCTGGTCCTCCTTATTGGGTTGTTGAGAGGGTGAACCAAGAAAGAACGAGAAAGGGCCTTGGGAAAGCCCTTTTAAGAAAGGGCTACAAAATGCTGGAGATTTGATTCTGGTTAGCCCTGGGGACAACTCCAAGACCCACCTGGTGACCTGAGCTGTGCCCACGGTAGTCCCTGGTCCTCCTGCAGTGCCCGCAGGACTCGATTGATGGAAGAGATCTAGGAGTGTTGGAGTGTTGTGGAGAGATGGTGCTCAGACCGGGTTTGCACCCTGAGGACATTCCTCTTAATATCCTTTCTCCCCTTCTGTCTCCACCCACGCATTGTTCTCAAGAGCAGCCTCCTCTCTCCCTCTATGCTTTCTTATGCTTTCTCCTTCCACTTCTCTTCTTACCACCACTTTTCAAAAGAAAAACTTAAGGGTCAGAAGAGCCCAGGAGTCCTGTCACCAGCCTGGGATGCCCACATTGCCAAATAAGAAATGCTCTTTGTCGGTTGGGCGCCGTGGCTCACGCCTGTAATCCCAGCACTTTGAGAGGCTGAGACGGGTGGATCACGAGGTCAAGAGATCGAGACCATCCTGGTCAACATGGTGAAACCCCGTCTCTACTAAAAATACAAAAAATTAGCTGGGCATGGTGGCACGTGCCTGTAATCCCAGCTACTCAGGAGGCTGAGGCAGGAGAATTGCCTGAACCCAGGAGGCGGAGGTTGCGGTGAGCCAAGATAGGGCCATTGCACTCCAGCCTGGGTAACAAGACCGAAACTCTGTCTCAAAAAAACAAAAAACAAAAAAAAAAAAAAGAAATGCTCTCTGTCTCCCCAGAAAGCCTGTTTTCCAGCCCCAATGTGGGGAGGGAAGCATACTTACACTGGGAGTCTTGTCCTGGGTACAAAGCCCTTCAGCACAAAGCTGGCGTTGGATCTCCCAGGCAAAGAGGGCCGGACACTCACCCTTCAGCTGGGCAATTCGAGCCACCACTGGGGGTGTAGCCAGCCGTGGCTTGCTTCCCCCAATGCCCTTGGGCTCCAAGACACCTGTGCGGTAGTAACGCCCTAGGATCTTGCTCACACAGCCGTTAGATACCTGAGGCAGATGAGAAGCAGGGACAGGTGAGGCATAATGGGCAGAAGGAGGGAGAGAGTCCCTGGGACAAGAGGAGGCTACAAGACAAAGCCAAGACTTACTGGACCAGACCATGAAGTTGGGAGTCCAGCCTCACCTTTGAGGGCCCGAAGCTCCCCTTTTCAACCTCCAAGAGGGTCTCCCAGGAAGTGACCCAAGTCCCAAAAGCCCTCCAAGCCTGCAACAGCACCAGGCTCTTGCTTTCAGAGGAGCCCCTTCTCCCTGCTTCCTGTCCCTATCACTGTGTGAAGGTGCTGGCTCATTACCTTCAGGCTCCGTGAGATGTCACAGGGTCGCATTCCACTGACTGCCAGCCGCACAATCTGCTGCCGGGTATCCAGAGGCAGGGGCCGGCCATTCACAAAGAGCCCCCCGAGCTGGTTCATGCTACTGATCCCTGGGCGTGAGACAGAGGTATCCACACACCACCTCTCCGACTGCCCTGCCCCGCTGTGGAAAGGATTACTCAGGCCCCTCCAGCTTGGCTTCCCACCACAGAGAACATCTTCTCCTGGGAGACCGCGTTCTTGCTGCCCCCAGGCAATCAACACAAGTTACTTTCTTAGGGAGCTGGCTCACGGGTGAGTCTTTGTTCCTTGCCTGTACCCGCAGACTCTCCTGATCTAAGGAAAGCAGGACAGGGCAGGAAGGGAGGGACTGGAAAAAGCTTCCCTAGAACACTGACCAATGGCAGATGAAACGGCTGATGGAAACAAAGCCCTGAGGATTCCCCTGTCTCTGTCGTCCTCCCTGTCTTCCCACTTCCCCCAGGCTCCTCACCGTCCTGCTGCATGCTCCAGGCTGACGCTCCTCACAGAAGGATGAGCCACCGCTGGGAAGCCTGGCAAGGGAAGTTCCTTCTAGGAGCTCCTTTTCCAGCTTGGGACCCAGGTCTGCAATAACGGGGCGGGTTGGGGGTTACTTGGGTGGGGTCTTTCACTTGAAATGGTCTTGGGAGGTAGCGTCTTGTGATAGAGATCAGGTTTCTAAAATTTGCCTGTGGGTTGGCTAAAATTAGAAAATTTGAATTTCTTTTATTTAAACCTTTATGTGATAAAAACTAAAACACTGCAGGTTGGCTGGAGACTGGATCTTTCTTGAAGTCCTAACAAGGGCTGGGAGGATTGGAAGGATTCTCATTTCCCGCACATTCATTACAAAAGGTTGGGGTGGTAGAAAGCGATGATGCTTTCAAATGCTCAAGCTTTCCCTTTTTCAAATGGGCAGCTGTTGTCTCCAACTGCTCCTAAGCCTTCTCAGTCCTGGATGACACACCTGAGCCAAAGATTCTGGGGTCCCCAAGTTCAGGGGTCCGCCTTCACTATTAGACAATCTCAGTTGGGCTCTCCAAACTGCCAGCCAAATGCTGCACTTCAAAAGGGCTTGCTCCTGTGTTTTTTATACTCTCCAGGAAGCTCTGGGGAAACTGGGGTTTGGCTCTACCCCCCAGGCACTGAGGCCCTGGTCCTACACACTGGGCATAGAGATGAATACACCTGAAGTGCCAGCTTCTCCTAAGAGGCACATTCTTAGCATCTCTAACCTGCTGCGGTTGTTCATTCCTATTAACTCTGAAGAGTTCTAGATCTCACAGTGAAGCTTCAATGTCAGAGACCACCTTTCTGGTATCAGACACTCATTTATTCAACTAATCCCTTTATCAAAGGCATATTGAAGGGAGGAGATCAGAAGCAGGATAGAACTGTTTGCTGACCAACACAGAAACCATCATGAGCCCAAGAGAGTCTCTGAGCAGAAAGGGACACAGGTCCACAGGCCACCATACCTCTCCTACTTTCATCAGTAGTTAATGAGAGATGAAGATGCCTCCTTTCATGCCTGGAACCCTGGTAGAGCTGGAGGTCACCCCAAGGAACAGCTTATGCACAGAACTTTCTTGTAATAAGCATGCCATCTTGGCTCAGTTAATTCATCTGCAGTTATATGCGGAATAAGATATTAAGCATGAGCACGTTGCTGGTTGTTCAGAATGAAGGCAGTAAACAGAAAAGGGTAAGGTCTTTGCTCTCCAGTGGATTACAGACCAACTGGAGAAAGAAGACTAGCACCGGTGAAACAAAGAATTACAAAGAAGGCCGGGTGCGGTGGCTCAAGCCTGTAATCCCAGCACTTTGGGAGGCCGAGGCGGGTGGATCACGAGGTCAAGAGATCGAGACCATCCCGGTCAACATGGTGAAACCCCGTCTCTACTAAAAATACAAAAAATTAGCTGGGCATGGTGGTGCGTGCCTGTAATCCCAGCTACTCAGGAGGCTGAGGCAGGAGAATTGCTTGAACCCAGGAGGCGGAGGTTGCGGTGAGCCAAGATCGTGCCATTGCACTCCAGCCTGGGTAACATGAGTGAAACTCCGTCTCAAAAAAAAAAAAAAAAAAGAGTTTGGAATCCGGAGTCTACTTATTAAGTTCAATAGCTAAAATGGCTTTTACTCACTTTTTTCTAGGTAGGTAGAGGCACACAGCCCTTCAAATCTTCATCTTTCCAAAAAGTCAAGCAGGAAGGCAGAGGTTTTCCAAAGAGAAAACTGAGGCACAGATTGGGATTGCCACAAGTCAGGGGCTGTCCAGAGAGTAAAACTCAAGGTTTAGAAGTCAGTTCCTCATCAGAAGCTACAACTTCTGGCTCCTAATCCTGGGCTCTCTTTCTCTGCTCCCACCCCTGCTTCATGTTTGTATAATTGCCACAAAAACAATGGAAAGAGGAGAGTCAAACAGAGAATGCAAAGGACTGCGTCAAGACAGGATGAAAGAGCTCAAAATATCAGCCAAACCCTAAATCCCTGACAGGACTCAGTTCTCCTAAGTGACCAGAATACAAAGAAGCAGTGGGGATGCAGGTTCAGTATCCAAACCCAAATAATCTCCAAACCTAAGTCATTATGCCTCAACTCACAAACAGAAACCCCATCTCAAAAGCCACACCACACATTCCCAACATTCACATTAAAATGTCTGAAAAAATAACTGGTGCTTGCAAGATGGAAAAACAGGAAAAGGGGTGGAAAGGGCAGGAGGGTGGTAGCTGCAAAGACAGAATGGGAGAGAAGTTGGGTTTGGCCACGCAGAGGCATGGAGACAGCATGAGAGGCAGGGCAGACAATGAGCCTGAGGGTGAGCTACCTGTGTGGAGGAGATGAGGTGGGAGCTTCAGTGGGAGGGCTCAGCTTCTGAGACCCCTGCAGGCTCCAGGGGTGATGATGGTCTGGTCTTAGTAACAGCCTCCACTCTGCTCCTGCTTCAGCCCTGCCAGGGGGTCCAGTGCTACAGAGAGCCCGAGCTCAAGAGCAGAGGGCAGCCTTCTGGGAGTAGCCAATGATGTCACAGGCCATGAGCAGAGGAGAGAGGAGGAGGGAGGTGTGCATGGGCTGACAGACACCAGCCCTGAGGCAGGGCAAACCACAGCCAATGACCCACTATGTCCTTCCGTGAGGAATCCTCAGAGCCCACTTTGTGTCCCTGAAGCAGAGACAGAGCCATTCTCATGCAGGAAAAAGTGCACCCACACAAGGACCAGTACTCCTGAAGGATACGCTGAGCATGGAAAATGGGGAACTTCAGGCTGTGCCCTTAAGGCTTTGAATGCACGGAAGCAAAAAGATGCTTTCCCAAACCACCAACACAGCTTCCCAGCCACAATGCACATGCCTGGGCTTTGGAGTCAACTCCTGAGTCGTGCGTGTTACTGTAAAAGAGAAATGAATGTACAGACTGTTGCCTAATACTGACTGAATTGGCTCCTAGCACTCTAAGACAATGAGAGTGAATGGAGAATAGTGTGTGTCCCCTAGCACCAGCTGTCCCCAGAGAGTGTCCTCACCAATTCTCCAATTGACTCCTTGACTGAGGTGACAACAAGCGTGAATTCTTGCCTGGAAATGGGAGGATCTCGGACTTCAGAACACTGACAATGGGAGTGGTGGTGGAAATGAGCCTCAGCATAGTCAGAGATGCATGTGGGTGTTTATAAGGACGCTTGCAGCAGGATTTTCCTCCTTCCATCTTTAGATGTTATCAGACTCCATTCTGTTAGGGATTTGATGCTTTTAGACTCTACGTCAGTAATGGCACTGTTGTTACCACAAGACACTACAGGTTATCTGGGTCCCTGGTGAGGCGAGAGGCATCAGTAGCTGGCCAGGTGGTAGTGGGATGCTGGAAGTGAGACGCAGCCTCTAGTGCATGGAAGCTTCATTGCCAGCCATCAGGGTCTTGGGCAGATCCCTGGGGGTGTGAAGGTGCTAACATGGAAAACTCTTTGGGTCCATTCCACACCTCAGAGTCTGTGAAGTCATTGCCAAAGTCAGATTGGAAGCAGGCAGGGTGTAGGGCAATAAAACTAGACCCAGAAATCAGAGAATGGAAGACTGCATTTCATTGTAAATGCTTTGAGGTTTTGGGGTGAAAGTGGTTGTTGTCAGTTCAGCTTGATCCTAGGCTTGGGAAATCTTGCTCTCAAAGGCCAAATGTCTCACATAAGTGGGGTTTCCCTTTACCCTGACACTTACTCTTTTCCTCTTCTACCCTCCTCCAGCATCCTCCGGCTGATATTGGGGTACAGGGGAGACTGACTGCAGAGGGTGATTTCAGGACCTCAGGCAGGACAGCATTTGCCCAAGTGCCCTTACAGTCATTCCATCCCAGGGAAGCTGGGGACTGCTGGTCACTCTGCTTAGCCATGCCTGGGTGGGAGGAAGTCCCCAGCAGGGCCTATGGTAGCCCTCCTCTTAGTCCCCCGTCCCTGCCTCATTCCTCCCTGCTAGATGTGCCCCTGCATGTAGGGGCTCAAGTCTCATGTCCTGACCAGCTATTCCTATAGACAGCTGCATGAGGGTGGAGATAGGGGTATCAGGGGGAACAGGGACAAGCCCTGGCAGATGGTGGTGGCAACGATTTACCCCATAAACTACCCTCTCCCTCCGCCTTTATGACGCCCTCTTGGGTCTGAACAAACAGAGGCTTTCTACCCAGAGGTGATGGGGGAGGGAAAAGTGGTAAAGGGCCCTGGCAGGGGGGCCTAGCCAGCCCAAAGGCTCTGCCACTCAGCCCTCTGCCCAGCGCACTAGACTGTTTGAGGAGCAAATATCTGCCTTCACTGTCTGACTCTCTCAACCACCCCCACCAGGTTTGGGGCTAATTGTCCCTCATTAGCTGGGCCCAGGCCCCGGGCTGCCGCCAGCCCCCGCCATCTGCTCACAATTATACATTAACTCAAAGGTCTTGCCACCCGCCAACAGGCTGTGCGCCCCTCTCCGAGGCCAGCCATGGCCATTCCAGCTTGTCCCTCGCCCTGATGTAGAGCCCTGATCGCTAGCTTCTTTCGCCCTTAGGACTCCCTGGTAAAAAGGCCCGTGTCTGTAGGGAAAGTCTTGTCCTTAGGAGAGGCGGCTGGAGTTCCCCTGACTTCCCCAAGGGACCAGAGGGCGAGCCAAGGCCGTGCGTAAAGCTGGAGAAGACTGGGCGCGGCCAGCGCAGAGACACGCTGGCGCTGGTCTGACACCTCGACTCGGGCTCTTGGCACCTGCTGTGGGAGTTGACACCAGCTCTAGGCTGTTTCCATTCCTCTGGTGCATTTTTGTAGGCTATGGGATCCTGGGCCCCTTCTTCTCTTTCTCAGGAAAGCCCCATCTCCTGCCAGCCCTCAGCTTTCCAGAGCGCACGCGCCACTGTCCAAAACCGCTCCGGCGGCCTGTGCCTCCCCCTTTAAAGTCAAAGTGATTTGCTTGCTACAAAAACACGGGAGCTCTTCGAGTTCCCTGAAAATTCTGAACTTGAGACCCTCACGCTAAAGTCGCGCCACACCCCCAAAGCTTTAGGCAGTTACCCTACTCTCCCAGCCCAGCCCCTGTTCTAACACCAGAACTCTCTCTCTGC